TCCTGCTGTCCCATCTCTCCAGCCTGTCAAGGTCCCTCTGAATGGCAGCATGCCCACCTGGTGTATTGACCATTCCTCCCAGTTTCGCATCACCTGCAAACTTGCTGAGGGTGCACTCTGTACCATCGTACAGATTACATTAGATCAAGTGAATCTAGCTTAACCTTCTGAAGTCCTGTCTGTCTACATCTTATAACAATGATCTTACAACAAGGTAAACAAGATGCACCAAATTCTAGCACAGATAGAATAAGCTGTTGTTTATTACGATGGAGTTTACCAAGGCTAAACACAGTTGGGAAGCCAGAAACCCAGGCTTCCCAGGTGGGTCTCCTCAGAAGCTTGTGCTAATCTACACCAGGGCTGGTGAGGCCCTTTCTCTCCCTTTATCCCCCACCCCATTATTGTCTTCACACTGATGTCCACTTGACCAAGAGTGTAAACTACCTGGCAGAAAAATCACCATGATCGTCCAAATTGGTATCTCCTGGGCCATGAATAACATGGATTACAAGACATCAGGCGGCAGCAGTCCTTGCTTGGATTAATTTTAATAGCTTTGGAGTGGCACACTAAGACCTCAGTAAAGCTTCCTCCTTTCAGAGACTAAAAAGTAGTTTGCATTACAAGCACCTGCTCACTAAGAGTAAGTCTTTGATTTGAAAGGAGCCAAAACATCACAATATTTCAAACATGATCAGTACAAACTTTGACAGAATGACCTTACCGCAGAAGTGAGACGAGCAAGAATTTCAGCATTGGTTTCTGCCGTATCTTCTATTTTTTGATCAGGCCTTAAAAAAAACCAAAAATAACATTTCATTATTTCTTTCATTCGGTTTCAACATCTTTTGATTCCTGGAAAGCAAGGAACTGTGTAGCCACGGGCACTAATGTAAAAGGGCTTTTGAGATTCCACATCAAAATGATGACTGCAACATGACAATAATTAATTGTGTCAGTAACGACAGGGACAAAGGGACCTTTTGTCCCTTGCTGTCAAGAACTCTTTTGATTGAACTAACGTAAAACAGTGAGAGAATTCTTCAGCTATAAAAATATGATGAAGAACTGAAGAATGCAGTACCCTCTTAGCTCAGATTTTGCTTAATTGAATGCATATTTTGCTCTGCTAAAAACATACTCCATCAAGAGAGCAAAGAGTTTTCCACCTGCCCACCACCCAGCTTTGCTAAGGTGTGAAGCAACACCTATGGAATGCGAGCACACATATATAAAAGCCGACAACATCAAAATCATTATGTGACACATGAAGTTTGATATTTAAAAAAAAAAAATGTGAAAATGAAAAGAATACATGTAAGATGCCATAAACTATCAAACTAAAGCAACAGCTGAGAACACTATTAAGTTGTCTTGACAGTTACTCACAAGGCAGAGACACTTAATGTGTCTTTGCAAAAGTAGGGCAGTGCAGGAAGTACCCTTCTAGAAACTATCACAGACATCTGGCCCGCGTGGAAAAAGCCACACGAAAGCTGCTGTGGACAGCACAGGATAGGACTATGTTTTTGTTTAAAACAGTCTAATTCCGATCACTAAAACACCTGAGAGCTTTTCAGAAGGTGTACTGACAATCAGAAGAAAGATACTAAAAAGACAGGGTTATTACTATGGGAAGAGGAAAAAGAAAATGCCCTTGAGATCTTTACTTTTCAAGGTATTGAAGAAACACGATGTGCCAGCAAACTGAGCAGATACGCAAAACTGTAGTTGCTGCAATAAAACATAAATCCCAGGTATTAGCAGAAGCTTCTATCTTTGACTAAATTATTTAATTGCTCATATGCCTTCACGTGTTTAGGGAGAGAGCTGACAACATGTTTATAATATGCAGTGGGTATATTGTGGTTCTTACATCCCATGTCCAAAAATTTCTTTCCCTGATTAAAAAATTAAGGTCGGCAGAACGACACATGCTTTCATTTTATGGCAAATATATTCAGATCAAAATGGTAATTCAGATTAAAAATCACAATTATTTTCACAACTGCCTTTCCTATTCAAAGAAAAATGTGATTTAACATTTTAAGTGTTATAAACAGCCCAAAAGAAATACATGAACGCAGTTTCATTTACAAAGACTGATTTATTCAGTCTTTCTCTTTAAAATTTAGAATAAGATTAAAATAACTGACCTCTTTAGG